GAACTGAATAAGAGGAATGAGTTTGGCTTACCAGGAGCTCATCTTTCTGTTTTGCATCCATTTCAAGGAAGTGTCATGAGGGTGTCAAGTGCTTTCCCTGCAATCTGGCCAGCTCTGGGAAGCAGCCACTTCCTTCCCAGCTTTCAACACCGTCCTTGGAAAAGATAAACATGGAAAGCATGTGCTAGGAGGAGATAACCCAACGACTGAGGCTTTTGGGAGTGGGAAAGGTGAAGGAAAACCAGCAGCTGGTGGCATTGCTTCAGCACAATGCAGGTGACAGGATATCATTCTGGGAGTCTGTCATACAAGGTGGGTAAAAGTTGCTGGCTGGCAAAGTGAGCCCAGAGTTTTACAGCATCAGAAAAATCACTCTGGTCAGACTTTTAAGGAGATTAGCACAGATGTTACAACTCAATTTCCTAGGTTTGGCTTGCAGAGCAAAAGCACAAACTCAAATACTGGAATATAAAAGCAAAGTGAATTAACACAAAAAGCACAGGAGAGTTTTCAATAATGAAGTATCACTTCTTTGAACACCACCACTTATTCTGTGATCTCAGACTGAAGATTCAGCAAGCCTGATACAAGTAGTTTGTGCCAACAAACCTAAAAGAGACTTGGCTTATTGGCTGCCTATTTAAATCTGGGTTTGGGATAAAGTATTCCCTTCCCAAGACGAGGACAGATGAGATGGAGAGTGGCAGCTCTAGTTTTAGGCTCAAACTTTCAGGACATGTGTCACAGCAGCTGCAATAATGGCCCGAGGAGGAAAAGGAATGGTCCAGTGAATCTTAAAATAGAATATGGGAAGCCCAAGTTCAAAGGCTTGATATACCACGGGTAAATTCCTCTGCAATGTCAGCTATGCCTGTAAACCGATGAGGAACTGAGCATTCAGTCTGGGTTTTGAGTAAAACCATAACAAAAACTGGAAAGGGAGGCTCAGAGAGGGCTCACACTGCTGGGCTGAGTGGAGCTGGTCCAGCTCTGGTCTCTGAAGGTGGCAGAGGATGGAGGCTGCCGGGGCAGCGCTGATTCTGCCTCCTAGAAGCAAGCAGCTCTCCTGAGACTGTGAGAGGCCGGGCCCAGGCCTGCCGAGCAGCTTTTGGCCGCTGCCAGCCCCATTCCGCGTTTCCTGGTACCACCGTGTGGCGGAGGGAAGGAACAGGCTGTTAATCACCGCGTGTTAATGAGCTGAACACGAGCGCCGGGAGGCTGCCAGGTCCAGCCTTCCCCTGCCGTCGTGCCTCGGAGCCAGCTCGCCTCTGAAATCACGGATAGCTTTTGCAAGAGTAATTATTCAGTATCAAGGGAATTTTTGTCTTTGGGGTTTGGCAGCACAGAAGTGAGTTGGATCACGGTGTGGCAGGGAAACCTGGGCACCTCCAACCAGGCTGCAGCCAAGAAAACCCATCCACCAAACACCCCCAGCACAGGAACAACCTCTGCTATTATCTCCTGTGAGGAGATGATGAGAAAAGCTAATTTAATTTCCCAAGTTTACAACCAGTCCTCAGGCTAAACTCGGAACCCCTAATACAGGAATGTTCAGCTCTTGTGCTGAGGTAAGACTGAATTCCATCAAGAAGCACCAAGACACCACTTCAATGGAATAAAAGCAAAAAAAAAATCTGTCTGGGCAATGCTAAAATAGTAATCCAGATTAATAGTAATCTAAGAGCAGCTCCTCTCCAGGAGGAGACTGCCACACACACCCACCCCTGCAGAGCCACCAAGAAACTCCAGAGCAGGGGAGAGCTGCTGCCTGCAGGGAATTCTGTTCAAAATCCAAAAGTAACCTCAGCAGGATAACTGAGAAGAAGTTTATTCTATCAAATCTCTTTAGAAGAGGAAAAGCAGAAATTTTGTTTGGGGTTTATGTGTCCAGCAAAATGCAGAGAATTGTGGTACCTACTCCACACCTGGGCCACTCCCACCTGGGTCTGCTCCTTGGTTCTCCAAGTGCTTTCTCCAGGCTGGTTTGCTGTACCCAAGGCAGTGAAGTGTTTTGTTTGGAGGCTTTAATGCTTTTTAAAAAGTCTCACATTGACGAAGTTTTCCCTGAAATTTTCTACTCCTGTTTCTTCTGCCACACCATAGATTTTCTGGCTCCCTTTGTAAAGAGATTTTTTTAAAATAGTATTTTAACAAAGACAAAACAGTTTTTAATAAAAGGTCATTAAAAAGCCCAGTCTCTCACATCAGAAATCTTCTAAAGCCAACTTATTAAAGATCTTAATTAGCTTCAATCAACTTTACCACAGCTCCCCCTGTGCCATCTCCTCCCCATCCCTTACAAATGATGGGCTCACTCTGTAAATTGTGAGTTTAACTCAAGCTCTGTTTCATCTCCAGCAGCTGCAGGAGAAGGTGCCATTTCTCAGGAATTATAGTCAGCAACATTAGTCCCTGGGTATGGTATTACCATACCTGGGATGATTTAGGGACAATGAAACCCCTGTGCCATCAAACTGTGTGATTCTTCTGACAAAAATGATCCTGCAACTGAATATCCTCTGGATGCACTCACTGAATTCTGTCCATTTTCCTTCCTTGCTCCCTTTCAGCCCACCTGTGGCAGGGCTGGAAGAAACTGTTGCTTCTTCCAAACAGAACTGAGCTCTGTGAAGGCAAAAGGAAAAGTGCTGCAGGGGGAAATGATCCTGAAACTCAAAACTGTTCATCCCAGGGCACTGGGGAGTCCTCCTGGCATGTCCAGTTCACCTGTTCCCATGGTTTTTAGCCCAATCCACTTTCAGTTTGACATAAACCCATGGCTGGGGGAAAGGTGGCTCTGTAGGACACTGGGAAGTGGCTGGCAAGAACTTCTGCTCAGTTTAATTGTCGCTGCTTTGGGGGGAGTCCAGAGATTTTGCTCCATAATTTATCAGTAATTTCACTGTTATTAAAACCCCAGCAAAATCCTGAAGTATTGGGAAAACAAGGGTCATCCCCAGTATCCACTTCCAGCATCCCAAAGGCTTCAGCCCTGTGCAGAACTTGGCCATTCCTTGCAACTTCACCTATTAAGAGGCAAATAAATGACAGCAGCAGTTTGGCCCTATTTCCCAGGCGACTTGTGCTGAAATCAATAAATGGAGAAACAAATTAGTGGCAGAGTTCTAATATTGCATGGATTTAACCCAAACTGGTGCCCAGCCTCAAGGCCTGCTATGGAGCACAGAACTCATTTGTTTTCTGTTGCCAGTGTTGACTTTGTGGACCCTGGAGCTGATGCTTCCCAAAATTCCAGCAGGACAAAATCCCTGCTGCTGCAGAGCCCACACAAGAGACCAGCCTGTTAACTGCACCTGGCAGCTCCAATCCCATCCCCAACAGATATAAAAGAGACAATTTTCCATGTGAAATGATCACAATTTAGCAGAAAAAATGTCTGTTCAGCTTCAGGCGTTCTGGCAGGCGGCGATGCAGATTTGTGGTGCCTCCAACCACGAAGCAGGCACGGGCTGCAGCTCAGCTCCTGCTCCCCAGCTTTCATTTACACAGCTAATTAGTAGGATTTACTGGCTCCAGCATCCCTCAGTCCCTATTTGCTGAAGGAGAAATAGATGAGCCCTGCCTGTGGAGTCAAGCCCAACAGGCCCATAACTCCACAGTGCAGGGCACAGCCAGGGGAAGCAGCTCAGGTGGAACCTGGACCCTCAGCACCCAAAATGTCCATCGCTTTCCGAGGGATTGAGGTGGCAGACACTGCTTAAAATCATGTGCTTGGCTGGAGAAAACATCCTGCAAGGAACCACACAGGGCAGCACAGGCTGCTGGGGGTGGGAGGATGAAGTTAAGGAGTAACTCCAACAAAGAGCAGCCCCGAGCTCCCCTTCATTAGCAGCACTTTGTTTAATGGCCGGGGTGAAGAGGTCACCCAGCCCCTGATGGACACAGGGACACCAGAACATCCCAGCTGCCAACCCCCTCAGCCCCAGCTCCTTTGCAAGTACTTGATCATTTGTAGATGCCCAGCAAGGTAAGACTCTACAAAAGCAAGGTAGGCTATTTCCAGCTCTCTGATTTTAAGATTTAATGATGATTTTCCTTTGTGCAGTGACATCCCACTGCCCGGCCCCTGCGGAGGTTTGGTGGCCGTTTCTGGGTGGGTTTAATGAAGATTATTAAGCAGGATTATTCATTATTTCTTTTCTGTTAGACATACCAGCGATGGGAACACGGGCTGGAGCAGCTCCTAGGGGTACATCCCAAAGTGCCTTTTGTGTGTGCAGCCGCTCCAGGACACTTCCAGCACTCCCAACAGCGGAAATTTCTGGATGTGAAACTCAGCCCTGCTCGTTTTCACTGGATTCCCTCTGAAATCAGCACAGGTTGAAACAGGTCACTGAACTTAATCACAAACAGACTCTGAAATCCCAGGGAAAGCCAAGCAGAGATGGAAAAAATATTCCATCTGACAGTCACTGAAGGAGACATTTACACAGGGGGGTTTGGGTTTGGCTCTGCTCTGGACTCTAAGTAGCAATTATAAAAATGGTGCATTTCTACTCAAAAAAATCTCGTCTCCTGCTTAGTCACTACCCCAGCCAGGTCTGGATTCGATTAGCAGGAGCAACAATATTCAAGTTTAAGTGCAGAAATGTAACACATCATCAGTTTTATGGAGCCAGTTCTGGTTTCACTCCCAAGAAAAGCTCACCAGAATTTTACTTTTCTCTGCAGCAAGATCACTGTATTCCTTCTCGTTTTGTACAGTGCTACATTTTAGAAAATAAAGAAAATTATCTCAGTAGATTCACTTACACGTTCCATTTTCAGCTCCAAGTAAGCCAAGGCTCTACAAACATCCTGCAGTGATCTAGCTTTTAGGCAAGGAAACCTCGCTTTTAGGTAAGGAAATCTTGCTTTTCAGGTGTGAATTACAACAATTAATTATCTGAATGAAAACACAAAACACAGACATGCACAAAGGAAATGTTCTTAAACCACATGAGCTAAAGGCAAGAGAAATTAGAGAGCATCAAGAACAGTCCAAGCCAAACCGTATCCAGCTTTATTAAAGGTACTTTTCATGAACAATCATGGTCATTTAGGCAGGACATGGGCTACAATCCGCAACATTTTACAACAAGTGTCAAACTCCCCTCCCTTTGTGGACTACTGACATGGAGAAGTTGCTAAAAACCGTAAGAATCTTCAGCTTGCACCTGCAGAGGGCAAAGTTTAGAGTGAGGGTGGACACGCTCGCATCCGCGCGTTGTCTGACAACTCTGCACAAACCCACCCTGACTTTGAGAGCAAAACAAACTCGAGAGGCAGATTTCTGTATCTGAGGGTCCACAACGGAAAAGAGGAAGTGCAGCTCCTTTTTGAGCCAGTACATCCCAGACTGGCCACCAGAAATCCGGGTCATCTGACACTGGGATGTCCCAGAAGGGCAGTTCTGCTGTGGTTGGGAGGGACTGGGTGAGCAGGGGACACCAAAGGACAACTGGTGGCACTGGGATTTGGAGCAGGCAACAGCATCTTGGGAGCTTTGATGTTCACCTGGGCAGGACTGACAGGCAGCACGGGGGAATCCCTTCTTCCTCCCTGCAGGAAGGGCCCTTCTTCCAAAAACTGGGGGACTGGCAAAAGCTTTTCTTATTAAAATTTAGGTTTTGAGAAATAGACTAAATGACATTTGTCCCCATTGCCCCCCACCCCCCCAGAACACAACAATGAAGCGGTCTGTGTGCTAACAACATAGCTTAAAAAAAAGTAAACCAAAATTCTGCATTGTTATAAAACTTGATAAAAAATAGTATTTCAAACTGTACAGTCACCAGAAGTACACAGTTATCAAAAATTCACACGTTTTACTTGGCTTCACCAGCACCTTCAGCTTTCTGTGCCTGAAAAGGAAAAGAGGAACAAGTGAACACGTTGAAAAAATGGACACTCATTTTCCTACACAGCAAAACCCTGAGCAGAACAAATCCTGTCTGGGCTGCGCAGCTCTGATTCCTAATAAAATTAAACTGAACATCTGTTGCACCCTAAAACACAACTTATAAGTTTCTTTTTGAACTTCACAGAAGAACAGTAACTTCCATGTGGCAACATCCCCTGGCAAACAGACAATTTAACTCTTTACCAACACCCCCCTCCGTGCTGAGTGTCGCAAGCTGCCGCCACAAGCCAAGACCTGTCCTGGTCTGAGAGGGAAAGGAATCAATGCTGGTGCACCACAGGCTGCTGGGATACCTGGTCTGTTTTGGCATCTCCATTTTCTGCAGGGTTGTTTCCCTCCTTGCCAGCATCAGCTTTTCCTTTCTTCCCCTTGGGCACCTTCTCGCTCTTCTGTAAATGCAAGACAACATTTGCTGCCAGCTGCCAGGCACGAGGCACAGCCCCAGTGAGGGGTGCTGGCCCCAAAAGAGCACAGACACCACCAAGGTTTGCTGGGTAAGGGATTGACAGCCAGGGTGAAGCCTTCACTTGGGTATTTTTTATCAAATCCTGTAAAATCTGCAAGTGGTCAGTTCAGCTTCAGGCAGCGGCGCTGCAGCTCCGTCTCCTCACACACGGCTGCTCACCAGAGGTTTGTCAGATGTCAGGATTGCCAGGCAATGCCAGACCTCAGCACCCGTTCATTCATTCCCCTTTCCAAAGAGCCCGGACCCAACTCACCTTTGGAGCTGCTTTTTTAGGTTTGGGCTCTGGCTTGGGAGGAGCAGGCTTCTGCAGGGAGAGGAAAGCTGTGTCAGACACCCGTGGAATGGTCTGGCTTGGGAGCACCTCACAGCCCCCAGGGCCACCCCTGCCACGCAGGGACACCCTGCACTGTGCCAGGCTGCTCCAGCCCCTGCCAACCTGGCCTGGGCACTGCCAGGGATCCTCCACCCTCACAGCCAGGAATTCCTACCCAACTCCCCAGTCCTCTGGCAGTGGGAAGCCATTCCCCTTGTCCTGGCACTCCAAGCCCTTGTTCAAATCCTGCTCCAGGGAAACAAACCACTTTTTTTTTTTTTTATTTAAAGCATTCAGGCCAAATAGCTTAGCATTAGGAAAGCAAATAAAAACATTTGCAACTGCAGCAGCTATTTGGTTTGCCCATTATTTTACCACTCCCACAGCAGCACACAATGGGGCAGGTCCTTAGGGCAGGAACTCGGTTTTCACCTCCAGGGCTGACACACATTCACACACGCAGGGGTCACGGCTGCCACCTCTGCCCAGCAAGGGGATACTCACAGCAGATAACCTCGCTGATCTCCGCTGCGGCTGTAGGAAAAGGACAACGGTTCTATTGAAATGACACCAAACGTGAACTCTAAAAATCTCATAAACTTGCTCTCTTCCCAAACCCCCACAAATTATGTTTACATTCTTTAGTTTTTACAAGTTAAGGAGGTAGTTTCCCAGTTTCCCTTTTTCTGTGTTCTCAAGAAACATGAGGCTATGCTGTTGAAAATACTAATAGCTAATGATAGTTGAGTAGATTTTTCACGGTTAAAAGTAGATCTCTCATGGTTAAAAAACAGTTAAGACTTTGAAAAGTCAGAACCAATTGAGACCAACCCTCCCCCCTACTCCCCAGTTATTCCGACGCCGTTAAACCCCATCTTCCAACCGAAACACTTGATGATCCAACTTTCTCAAAACACCCAACTTCTTACCTCATCCTTAACTTTGGCCTTATCGCCCTTGGTCTCTCCTTCAGCCTGGGGACACGGACACAGGTTGTGAGGACAAGTGATGGGCAGGACCCGCAGCCACCGGCCGCTGTCCCGGGGGGACCATCCCCGTCCCGCCCGCGGCGGGCAGCGGCCCCTCCCCGGGGGCCGGGCGGGGGATGCCGGGGCACAGCCCCGCAGCGCAGGCGGGGTGGGCTCGGTGCCGGCCGGGGCTGCGGTGTGCGGGCTCGGTGCGGGGGCGCCGCCGCCCCCTCAGGGCGGGCCCCTCCCGTTTTGGCGGCAAAGCTCCGCCGCCGCTTCCCGCCCTTTCCCGCCCCGCACCGGCGCTCCCCTCCCCCCCACCTCCCTCCCTCCCCTCCCCTCACGCCGACCTCCCGCCAAAACCAACCGGTCCGGACCGGCGGGCAGCGCCGGCCCCTCCCGCACCGCGGCCCTCGCCGGTAACGGGCCCCGCGCCGCCCCCACCCCCGGTGAGGCCTCGCTCCTCCGTTACCGCCCCGAACGCGGGGGGGGGAGCGCGTAGTCCCGCCCCCCCTCCCGCAGGCGGCTCCGTGAGGGGGGAGCGGACACCGTGAGGGGGGAGAGGCCGGCGGGGGCGGGGGGCGGCAGCTGCACGTACCTTTCTCTTCGGCATGGCTCCGCGCGTGTGTGCGAGTGTGAGTGAGTGCGTGTGTGTGTGTGGGGGAGAGCGGAGCGCGCCGGGCGGCGTGAGGGGGCGGAGGGAGCGGCGGAGGGAGGCGGGGGTGCGGGAGCCGGGCGCGCTGCGGGCAGCGGTGCGGCGGAGCGGTGCGGCGGGGCTGCACCCGGCGGGCTGCGCTGGTCCCGACCCCACTAATTGGAATCGGGTGTTTATAAAGTTTTATATAGAGCCGGACGCGGCCCAACCGGTTCCAGCCGGATCCCCGCCGCCCCGCGCGCCCATTGGCCGGCGGGGGTCACGTGGGGTGGGGCCAAGGCGGGGAGGGAAGGAGGGGAAATGGGGGGGGAAAGGTGAAAATTCGGGATGTGAAAAACGGCTCCGGGGATAACGGGGTTGGTGGGGGGCGGGTGGGACGACGCCCGCACCCCGCGGCGATCCCGCGCGCAGGTGAGCGGAGCTGTTCGTTCAGCACCTCCGGCCCCGCGGGGCCCCCATCCCGGAGCGGCTCCCGGGGGAAGCGCGGGCGCCGCTTTTCCTGTAAAAACACCGCAGATGCGGCGAGCTGCAGCCCAAAAAGGGAGGCGGCAGTGCTGGAAGGAGAGAGGAAAACGTTAAAAAGCAATAAAATGACGTTAAATCAATTCACACAGGTGCCTGCTGACCCGGCAGTTGGGGACATTCCTCACACCTGGCACAGCCACGGCCCCCGCGCCAGAAATCCAGCTAAACGTCTCCATCACCCTTCACTGTGCCCTGAACTTTCCACTTCTCAGCCCAACCTCATTCAGAAAATCACCCCAAGGAACAGCCTTTCCCCCCGTCCCTGCACAGGTAAATTCAGGTTTTGCAGACCTCAGCTGCACATTTTTCCAGCCATGCTGATTTTTCCCATTTTCAACCCATATAAATTAATGATGGAGGTTCTGTTCTCACTGACAGGAGCCTGTGGCTCTAGTCCCACAGATTCACGGGAAAGATGCACTCCTGAAACTCTGGAGTTTGCCTGGGTAACTCATCTCCACCCTCCACCAAAGGAAGGCTCACAGGGGGAAATAACTAAAACTTGCATTTACTGAATGACTGATGCAGGTGAAATGCACAAAGCCAGGTAACAGGAACCTTTTGAAGGGCTCTTCCTCCTCCCCTGCTCCAGTGTTGCCTTTCATAAAATGGATTAAAACTTTCCATACAAGTATTTTATAAACCAGATCCTTCACTTACCTCCTGCAACAGGACCAGTACTTTGTGGAAAGCCACCACTGTGGTTTTTGTCACCTGCAGAGTCATAACACAATGGAATTTTTTTTTTTCTTAAGGCAAAAAAAGCATTTTTTGAGTAGAAGAGTCTCCCCATCAGCCTGGCAAAGCAGACTGGAGAGTTTCCATCTCATGGAGAGTACACTGTTTCCACAGTTTCCTGAAACATGGAGAAAATAAAATACAGCAAAAGAAGTTTAACACCAACAGCTCTCATCATCTCAGCACATTTTCAGCCAAATTCTCTTTGCTACTTACACAAGAGGTGGTACCTGCACACAGCTCCACTCGGGCAGGCTTTGGGGTATCAGCAAACTGCTCACACCACTGTAAAAATAACCTTCAAATCATTCCCAGGCTAGCAGGAACCACATGAGGAGTCTGCCACAGATTAAATATTACTGTATTAAACCTGGATTCCAGCTTCATCACACCTTAAAATAAGCAGCTCTACTTACTTTTAAACATTCAGGTTATTTTTTAAGTAACTTTGGTATGAATATACTTTATTCCCAGTTTGACTACACAGTTCTTCACAATCACAGGCCAAGTGCTCAGAGTGCAGCACTTACAAGGCTGTTAAATCTGCATTTTGTGGTTTTCACCTGGAGGTAAGAAGAAACACTTCAAAGCCAGCAACAGCTGGTACTGCCACACGTGTGTGTGCATCAAAAAAATCAAACATTTTCAGTTATTTTGATGGTGAGGACGGAAACCAGGAGGAAGGAGAGATGGAAACAGCCTTGGAAATCAGCTTGTCCATCTCCCTGCCAGTGGAAAAGTGAGAACAAGCAACACTCCACAGCTGCTCTGGCCACTCCCTTTAGCATCAGCCAAACTGCCCTTCTGAACCATTTTGGCTGGGGTCAGAGGCTGGTTTTGGCCATTGTATTCCTAAATTAAGCCCACCCTCATTCCCTGGAACTCCCTCAGAGGGTTTGGCATATGGTAGCCATCACCAGTGTTTAGCCAATTTCCTTCCTGAGAAGGTTCATTCCCAACCAATCCTTTTTTCCTGCCTGCTCAGAGCCTTTCCCAAGGTCAGTGTGGTCCAACACCAGCACCTTCTGCACCTGGGTTTTCCCCACATCCACTGCTCAAGAGAGATCTCAGGAGCTGCTGAAGCTTTGGAGCAGCTTTTTTTCTTTACAGCAAGGCTGGGAACCCTTCCTTTAGCTCTCTGGAGACCAGGAGTGGGTACATCCCAGCCAGCAGTCAGGTGGGGAAAAGACAAGCTGCTGTCAGCGAGCAGGCAGTGGGGAATGCCCCTGACACCAGGAACAATCCTCTCCCTGCAGAAAGCAGGGCTCTCTTGATGGGACAGCAGAGGACATCCCAACAGAACATTCCCTACTGCAAAGCCATGGGAAGAACCCGAGCCCAGACTGATTTAATGGGACTGAACTGGTCTGGCTGGGCCAGTTCAGGAGCAGTCAGAGAACTGGAGGAGGCTCACTGCAGTTAACTTCTTGTCACCAGAACACCCGGCCTGTCAAGGACCCAGCAGCAGAGACCCAGCAGGGTGCAGGGATCTGTCACCAGGGCAGGGAGGTGACACAGGACGGCACCACCTTCCTCAGCAGCATCCCAGGCCAGGAGAGTTCACAGCAGCCATCCCTGCTCCGGGCAGGGCCGGCAGGAGGGAGCTCCTGGAGCAGCCCTGGCTGCCACGGCAGGGCCCGGCGAGCCAGTCCCTGCGGGCAGCAGCTCTGCACGCCGTGTTCCCCAGAGCCCAGCACCTGTGTCACGCAGACACTGGGCACAGTCTCTCCAAGAAGTCTGCTCTCTTGTGCTCCAGGGCCTGCAGGAAGCCCTGGATCCTCTCCTCCCGCAGGGCCGTGCATTTCTGCAGCAGCGTGCGCCGGCGCCGCGAGTCTCCGTGGGTCACACAGCCCTCCTGCTGCAGCTTCTTGGTCACGTAAGCCTGGTCCCTCTCCATCTGCTGTCGCCTCCTCTCCTCCAGGTAGGAGTCTCTGGCCTTCTGGAGTGAAAAGCAGAGAGTGTTAGCACCTTACCAGGCCTCTGAGCCCACCTGGGGTACGGGGGGACAAACGGCCTCTGCCCGGCCGTGGATCTGCACGTTCACTCAAGGCTGCCTCTTCCACCTTGAGGCAGCCTGCTCAGAAAATACAGGGATAACCTCCTGGGCTTCCCCTCCAAGACACAGCTCTGCTCACAGCGTTAAATTCGAGTTAGAACAGGTAAAAGTCAGGACAGATTTGGGAAAACCCTCAGATACTGGAATCAGAGAGGAGCAGCTGCAGGAGAACTCCTGAACCCCAGACATGCACACTCTTATCCTCACCAGGGTTATCACAGAACTTTTGATGCTGAAAGGTTTTAGGGGATTCCAAACCATGACTTACAGGGCAATTCTTTGAGATGATCGAGTATTGAGCTAATCAGCTCTAAAACAAAAGCAGGAATAAGCTCAGCATTCCCAAATTTCTGTGATCTAAGGGTGAACTGGCTTGAGACACTGCAGGAGAAAGGCAAAGGCAGGAGCCATCCTTGTCTACCCTTCAAGTATTTGAAATATTTTGTTGTAGAACACCACTTTTAGATTTCTCCTTATTGCACACGTCCTGGCCTGCAGCTTCCAACAGCCAAAAAAACATCAGCAGGGAGGAATATTGAGGTTCTATTTTTAAATACTGTAAAACTGGTCACTGTGACATAAACTGACACACACACACTTGGGAAGTGCTGGTCTTTCAAACAAGCAAGAAGAATAATTACTCTAATGAGAGCCTGACTCACTCATCCCCACACTCTTCCTGAGCCCAAGGCAGCTATAGCTCTGGAAATTAGCTTTTGTTGTGCTGGCAATGTGAGCAGCAATATCCCCAGCAAACCCACTGAAGGGATGCTCTCCAGGGCTGACCTGCACTGCAAGGATCATCAGCCTGCTGAGCAGAAGACTTCCACCCTCAAAGTGCAATACTGTTTATTGCCCAGAAAAGACTCAGCTGGCCAGGGCAGGGGCAGGCTGGCCCTGCACTCCTTCCCAAGATCTACCAGCTACCAAAAGCAGGGTCCAGCTGGTGCTGGGACTCCATGGAGAGCAACAACCAGCTGGGAAATAAAATGGCAGCCACTAAAGTGATGCTGTTTGAGCTGATGGAAGCAGAATCTCTTTTGTCCACTACCTCCAAATCAAGGAGGGTTTCTGTACCTTGTCTCCCCTTCCATCCTGCTGCCCATCCACACCCCAAAAGCAGCAGCACACTCCCAAAGCAGACACAACTGCTGTAAAACATCATGGCTTCTCAGCAAGGCCCCCACAGTCCCACCATCCTCACTGACAGCAACCCTTCCACCAAGAGAATTTGCTTCATGACTTCTTTTGGATTTCAAGATCACCTATTTTAAATTTTAAAAGGCCCAGCTCCTAAACCTCAGCTCCTCTGAGGGAGAAGCCCTCCCTTTGCACAATTGTGAGGGTTCCCTGGGAAAAAAAGGGCAGGCTCAGACACTGCAAAGTGGCTCTTACAGGGAGAAAACTGACCAGAGAACAAATGTGGACAATGAGAAACCTTGATAATAGCATGGCATGAACACATCCAGCCACCAAGCAGAACTAGGAAAAGATGAGGATAGCTGGGAACAGAAGCTGCATTTGTTGCCTGTCAGAAACCAGCACCAGGAGCAAAGTCAGAACAGTGACCTTACTGTTCCAGACAGAGGCCAAGCTCATGGCAATGACAAACACTACTGCCTTTTTTGCTTCCCTCTTCATGCAGAAGGTGAACTGCCATTAGTTGTACTAATACAATGAATTGCTGGTAGGAAAAGGGCAGACTTGGGCCAGAAATAGGAACAAAAGAGGTTAAGGACATGGAGAGTTTGGATGCTGCCAGACTGGCTGCACTTGATTAAATTCAGCCATAACCACAACTGGCTATAATCTCTTTGACAACTCTCAGGGGTGAGCAAGGTCCCTGAAGGTAGAAAAGGGCAATATAATGCCTATTTTTAACAAGAGGACCCAAATAATTAAGGAACAGACACATTCAGCAGCGAGATGTGGTGGGGATGAAGAGCTGCCACACTGAGGCCCTTCTGCTGTCACTGCTGCCTCTGTGTCACCAGCTGCTGCCCCCCACATTCCTCCATCAAGAGTTTCAGCTCCCACACTTGTTTAGCTTAAAAATAGCCAAACTCCTATCTCACTACTGTACTGGCCAGCTGTATCAGAACCAGGTCAGGGAGAGCTCCCAGCAACAGATCTAAAAGGAGAGGAACAATGTCAGTGAGCAATAGGAACAATCCCTTCAGCAGGTACATCTGGACCCACCAGAAAGAGGACACTTGTGCACAGACTCACAGCCCAGGCTGCCTCATTTCAGCTCCCACAAAGGAAACTCCACACCCACTTGTTACAACCCTAAAAAC